CCCCAAAACCCCAAAACCCCAAAACCCCTAAATCTTGAAGAAAAATAGAATAATTTCTTACAAAATATGGAACAGAGGGCTTCAAATTACCACTACACTGGATATGTAGAAGAGTCTTCAAATAGTAATGCATCGCAAAGGTAATTGGGCGAAGAGAATTAGTCAAGTTGTGCATAATTTCACCTAGATTTTTTGAGATTTCAGCATAAAAGTTTTAAAGCAAGCAGATAATTCCACTCAATGAGCTATTTTGATTCGCTAAACTTTGGGTGAGGATGCAGTCGGCTGGCATGTGATCAGGCTAGATTTTTCATAGTTGATATAAGTTGTTTTAAAGAGCATGTATATGTGTATATCTTAAAACTCAAGCCAAAATATCATTTGGTATATAGAGACCAGCCTACCAGCAGTGATCCAGGCAGATTTCATGAGGAGCAACATTACAATGGAGCTTCTTCATCCAAGAATGTATATAGAGGACCTGATAGACCAACACAGGATTTTCATGGACAGAACAAACCATCTTTAGAAAAACGTGATAAAAATTTAGGAGACAAGAAATTCAGAGAGTTTGAGAATAGGAACTTAGGGTATTACAATCAATATGAAGAGCAGACAGCTGTTTCAGAGGCTTCTTCAAACAACCCATACGATACCTCTGTTCAAATCTCTCACAGACAAGCTCGTCCACGTACACCTTCAAGGGCACACTCCCCTGAAGAAATCAGAAGAAACGATGAGCTCCTCAGCCTTCTTATAGGCGGAAAGGAAGAGACTAAGGCTGAAAAGAGAGAGCGTCAAAGGATGTACAGAGAGGCTCTTGAGAACCAAAAGAAGTTAAATGAATTCTACACCAAGAACCTTAATCCTGAGTTAGTGATCCAATTAACCCTATAGAGTTATTGAGCATAAATACTCTAAATCTCCACCAAGGTTTAGTGGTAAAAACAGACAGCATTCTCCTTCATCCCCTCTATCAAACTCATTTGACTCGGAAACGGAAAAAATGATTGAGCAAGAAGAGCTAGAGAAGAAGAGGCAGTATCAAGAGATCCTCCATTACCAGATGAGGGAAAAGGAGCTGAAATAAACAACTTCAGAGAAAAGAAAGTATCGCACAGAACATCTTCGCTCGAGGTAGATCAGCTGGTAATTTTTAGATGAAAACCAAGAAGAAAGAGAAAAATTAGCTAAGCAAAATCAACTCAGAAGGGAACTAGAGGAACAAATTCAAGAAAAACAGAGATTAGGAGAACTAGAGAAACAGAAATAAGCAGAAATATGATCTACAACTTGATACAGCCATTGAGAATATGAACAAAAGAATGTGGGATCAAGAAAAGACAGAGTCACAAAGAGAAAAAGAGAAAGATCAGTACAAAGATGAGCTCCAGAACCAGATTAAGGAGAAGCAAATGAAAGAAGACTTTGAAGAACAACAAAAGAAAATGAAGGAAATTGAAGATGAAAAGAGAGTCAAAAGAGAAGTTTTCGAGCTGAATAACCAATTCAGAATTGAAAATGGAGATGAACCACTTCCACTTCCTCCTGAGTTGACACCATCTAACATCCCTCATGACTTTGATGACCAGAAAAGCTTAGCTCCCAGCATGGCTCCAAGTGTTCCTCCAGAAATGACCAGGAATCCCTCTCCAACAGCTCAACAGAACCGATTCACACCTCAAATTCCCCCTCTTGCATCAGCTAATCCTGAAATTCCTTCTTCTAACCCAACAAATGCCCCTCAAATGACCTACCCACCTTACCAACCCTCCCAAAGCCCGCTTCCTCAGGCCCATTACGAGCATCCTTACTACCCAGTACAAGCACCGCCACCTGGCCTGATAGATATGCCTCCTCGGCCTGCTCCTGCAGACCAGAACCTTGAGGCTCTTTACCCTGAACTCCAAGGTATTTTTGAGTTAAACTTCTTTAGAGCTCCGTGACCGCCAAAAAGATCTCATTGGCAGCTACATGGGAGAGATCCAGCTTCTCAAAAAGCAGAAGGAAGGCCTCATCCAGGACATGATTTCTAATAAATAAAGATCAAATGGAAGAAGACCATAAGTTGTTCCAGCAAAAGCTGGAACAACTAAAGGGCTCCATGCTTGAGAATTATGAAGCTCCCAAGCCTACTCCAGTCATGGCGAAAGGGAATGAGATCTTAGCAGAGCTCGATAGGATGAAGGAGAGATTACAGAAGGGAAAAAGCTCTAAGCCAAGCCAGCATCCTTCAGAAAGAACTATGAATAATATCATGATCCAAAACCCACTTGCAGATGGAGACAATATTAATATAGATAATTACTCTCCAGAGAAAAGATCTTTCCAAACTAGTATGGATAAGTCTTTACCTGGTATAACTGCTCTTAAGACAGGCCCTAATGCAAGTCAAAATTACAGCCCTGAGAAGCCTAGTAAGAATACTAACCCAAGTATTCTTAAGCCAGATAATGTAGAAATTAACATGGGTTCACCTACTATTCCTTCCAAGAAGAAAACTACGATGAAAAGCGAGGTATTTTAAGCAATGTAATTCTACAGAAACCAAGAACTAAGAAGAGAATTATCAAGAAGAAAGATAAGCCATCAAAAGCTAAAACTATCAGGCTGAAGGTCCCTCTGAAGAACTCAGATAATAATGATGAGTCATTAGGTATTGCCACAGATTAATAGCTCTAGAGTCTCAGAAAGTAGATGAATCGATTCAGAAAGAACTCCCAAGGGCTATGATCCAGGCTCAAAACAACCTTGCGGAGGAATCTTCTGCTTCAAATGCAACACAAGAAATAAGGCAAGATGACCCTGAAGATGAGGAGGACGAAGGCGAAGAAATGTACACAAATGAAGAATTAGCAGAAAGTGATCTTCCTAATCCAATCCCTCAAGACCAAGAAGAGCTTCTGCCTCGAGAAGAAACCAAAAATGATCCTCAAGAAGCCCCTATCGATGAACTTCTCGAAGAGGATGAGCCTGAAGAGCCTTTACTTGATGGAGAAAGGCCAGGAAGCCCCATAATTCCTGCTTTGAGAAAGAAGTTAGTACATTCTCAGACAATTAGGGAGATGAAAGAAAAGTCTAGGATGGATCGCAAGAGTAAACCTTACCGCTCAGTCACCCAAATCGGCCAGGGTGAAGATAAACTAGATGAGCCCTCTGTTATACCTGAACACCTTAGAAACAAAAGCGTGACTGGTCTAGGCATAGACGATGATAGATCAGTTGCTGTTCCAATGGAGGTAGATCAGAGCAGAGATTATGGTAAACCTCCCCTTGCAAAAGTTGTCAGCCAAACACCTAAGAATGAGAAATCTAAGCTTGAAGAAAAATTTAAGTCTTCCAAAAAGAGAAAATTCACTGTAAGATTTTTCATAATTCTTAGGACATGGTCAGCTTACAAGGTGACTCAGAACAGAAATAAAGAGTCGAATGATGGCCCAATCACCGAAAGAAAAGAATACCATTCTGCTATGGGAAGTGCTAAAAATTCATTCAGGAAACTAATACTTGGTACAAATGATGAGGCTTCTCCTCCACCTCATGAATCAAGTTCAGAAAATGAGGCCTCTTTGATGCATGGACTGCCTGCTTCGATGAAGAAGATAAGGGGAATGTCCATGGATAGATCAAGACAAATGGCTTTACCTCCTACTCCAAAGAAGATCATCAGAGCTCCAAATACCACAAACATGGAAAAAGACGAATCTGGCAGCGATGTAGATTTTGATTTAAAATTCTTCAACAAAAAGGCACTTCAATCTGGAGGTTCACTACCTAGAATCTCAGCCTATGAGAGAGCAGCTAATCATAAAAAGGCGAATAGGACATCTTCTTTCACAAAGTACCAGTCTCCAAACCCATTCAGGCCTCCAGTGGATTCTAACAGATCATTGAATGAACGAAATTCTTCCTTCGAGGAAATCCCGAGAGCTAACCTGGTTCAAAGAAGAGATTTTAAAGAGCCAGAAGGCTCTTATCAGCCTTCTGAACATCTAGAAGGGGTCAAGACTCCTAGCCTTCGTGAAACAATTAGTAGGAGCGTACCAAGAATGAGAAATCAAGAGATCATCAAAAGGAAAGAAACCTTTGGAGATGTAAGCCTGCTAACAAATTTCTTTAGAGTCATGCTAAAAAGGAATCAGGAAGTTCCTATAGAAGGGATCAAGTAATGCTAGAACATCAGAGAAAAGCTCTTGGAAGGGGTGATAAGTTCAATGACTCTCAATAGTACTATTTTGTATAACATAAAGTATTGGAGAAGATGTATCAAATTACCAGCCAAACGAGGTTCCTTTGAGTTTTGAAAGATCTAAGCCAAAACAACCTTCTGTATTTAATTATAATTCACAAGCAAGACCTGAAAATGATAGACTTCCTCAACTTAGTCGAAGAGATAGCTTAACTGGATCTAAAGGTAAAATCTCCCACGATCTTTATGGATTAAAACAAAATCCTAATCCTAATTCTCCCAATCTAATCTCTATAGTGTCTTAAAACGGCAACTTTCAGTCTTAACTAAGAAGCAGCAAGAAGTGGCCACCCTTATCTCTGAGAAAGGTAGTTTATGGGGTCAGGGATCGGGCGAGGGGATTAGAGGAGGGAAGAGGGCTGTTTGGGCAAGGGAGGCTGGGCGCTTGAGGAGGTTGTATTGGAGGAGGAGGTTTTAGATGGGAGGTTAGGTTAGGGGGTATGGGGAGGAGATGGGAGATGTTTGGGGTCGTTATGAGTGTTTTGGGGGGTTTATGAGCTGGTTGAGAGCATTATAGTAGAAACTCGAAAAGAGCCTCCTAAAAATCTAAATTTAGCACAAAATCCGTCAACCAAGAATATTGAGCCAAGAAGGGTCATTGATCCAATTTACTTTCAGAAAAACAAGGAAGAAAACAAGAAATCCCAACAAAAGATCCCTATCAGAAAGCGGAGCACTAGCTTGACTAACTTAAGTCACAATATTGCGAATGAGTCTGTGAAGTCTTATAAATTGCCAACAAAGCCAAAATTTCAACCAAGAGAAGTTCCTAAAAACAGTAATTTACAGCTAAATGTCCCAAATTATGAATCAGAGTAATTACCCCATAACATTGTAGAATGCTTAAGGAGCCAAGTGAGCATTTCGGCTCTGTAGATTATAATGACCCTTATGTAGTCCACGAGAGACTCAAACGGAACATGATGCTGTATGTAGATACTGACCCTAACAATCTGAACTCTACTCCACTAGAGCAACGGCTTGATGCTGAGCTAAAGACTATCACACCTGCCAAGATGGGGTCTTCGAATCATCCTTTCATTGATCCAAAATACAGCTTAGAGTCTTCAAGACCGATCCCGATAGAGACGAAGAAGAGTATTGTTTCTGAAGCTTCTGACTTTATAAAATATTACGAGAATATGAAGAACAAGGAAAATATCTACAATGACCAATTAGACGAAAGTCTAGATGACTTCGTACTCTACTTGAAAGGACTGAAGAACAAGTTCTTGGAAGACCTAGTGCTGAAGAAGATTGAAATGGTCGAAGACGAAGCCAAGCAGAAGAAGTTACTCCAGAGTTACCCACAGAGACAGTACGGGATTTTGATGAGTATAGGTCGCTTAATATCAGCCAGGACTCCACACCCAGAAGTAATAGAGTCTTGTTACAAGAGAGCGATTATGAGAATTTGAGGGATTTTGAAAAAGAAGTTAATAAAGCCGTTAGTGAAGAGCAAATACAACCGTAAGATTAGTATTATGAGGTTCATATAGAGTTGGATCTATTACAATCCTGAAAGAACCAACGGAGAATGGAGTCACAGCTCTTGATGTCGATCATCTCAATAATTCAGGGGTAAGAGAGAAAGTCTAAGTCTAGATTAACCAAGATTTACTAGTGTCTGAATCTGATAAAGCTTCAAGCGAGAAAAAGTCAACCAAATAAATCAGATGGGTTGAAGCTTATACCTCTCAAACTTCCTAGCCAGCACTCTCAGAGCAGGAGTTCTTATGATTCTGTTAGTGCTGAAAACAAAGAGGAAAGTAAAACAAGTCAGCAAAATATCGCACCTAATCCGGCTCCTATCCAACTCCCAGTCTTAGATAAAAACGAAGAAGATGTTGGTGATATTGGTATGCTTTTGAACTAAATCCTCTTTAGAGTCAGTATCAGCTGCATCATTTTCACACAACCAAACAAGGAAGAGCACAAATCTGAAAGATCCTCCAAAAGGAAACATGTTCTTAGATTCTCCTGCTGAGCCACCCCAACAAAATCTACTCATGAACCATGTATCAGGTAAATCCCTCTTTCATAAGTAGAGGAAGTCAAATTGCCACTAGAGACTTCAGTTGAGAAAACATCAATAAACAAGCTGAGCATCCCTGAAGACCAAAAGCCCCTACAGATGGTATTCAGCCACTTGATCCTTTAGAGAGACTCTGTCACTCCACCATTAGAATCCGGCAGGTCGTCGAAAATGTCGAACAAGCCGCCAAAATACCCATCCCAAATAAGTAATTTGAGCTTGCCTAAGAAGCAAAGGTACTTCAATCTCTTACTGTAGCAGCAAATCCAAGAAGAAGTACACAAAAATGGCCTTGGAGGAATAGAAGAGCTTCTAAACCAGATCTTAGGTACTGTTCAGCTTAATCCTGAATAGATAAGGAGAAGGCGACCAATGAGTTGCTTAAGAAAGACTCTAAGATACAAACTTTCCTAGAAGATAATAAGTCTAATAACTCTAACACTTCGTTCATGAAAATGGGAACTAACGGTACGTGGCTTGTATGATGCCTCTAGATCGGCAGGGGCAGCGCAGAGCCTCAAAACGAAGAAGTGTCAATAAGAGTCCAGGCTCAGGTTATGGTAAGTATTTTATTAAAGACTGTATAGATCTTGACGGACAAGGTAATAAAATGGCTAATCTCTAGACTCATTCAGATCAGATATTAATTCTGTCACAGAGACAGTCTCAGATACATCGAATAACGAGAGTAAGAAAGGACCAACAGATATGTTTAAGAAGTTTGCCATGGAAATGGCTAATGAGTAGGCTAAGTACCTTTCCCAATAGAGTATTAAGCTCTGTATTTCACAACCATTTACTCTATTTCAGTTGTATTTTCAATATGAGTATTCAACCTCGGGGTTTTGGGGTTTTGGGGTTTTGGGGTTTTGGGG